ACGTGAAAAAATCTATTAGAACCCGTTTTTACTTTTTTACTAAGTTTCCGGATAGCCGAGATACAGGAGGTGTCTGAAAATCGTAAATTTCAAACACTCCCTGTATATCAAAAACGAAGAGGGCTATGAAAATTTGGTTTGCGCCATTGTAAGTTTCACAAAAAAGTAGCTCAGGTTCGCGAAAGCCGCAACTTTCTATCTTTCATAATAACTGAGATACCCTGCAAACCCATCGAAATTTGGACACCTGTACATACAATTTAACTATTTATGAATTGCCGAGTCCAAATGACGCTTTTTGCTTTGCCTGGACAGAGCTTAATGAAAAAAGGGGAAGTTCAGAAATTGGAACTTGTTTGTATAACTATATTTAACAATTACCTGCCACTGTTACTGAACTTGCTCTTTATTCTGACACTTGCGGAGGGCAGAATCGAAACCAAAATGTGGCTAGTTTATTGTTATATTTAGTACAAACTACTTCTCTCAATGTAATCGAACATAAATTTTTAGAAACTGGACACAGTTATATGGAAGCAGATAGCATGCATAGTGCAATTGAGTCAAAAAAGAAACACATTCCGGTGTATACTCTACAAGATTGGTTAAACATTTTTAGATTAGCACGATCTAACCGAAGAAATAAACACTGCAGACCTTACAAAGTGCGTGCACTAACATTTAAAGACTTCAAGAACTTAGGAAAATTATCTCAACAGCTTTTACGAAACAAAAAGAACAGTATGGAAGGAGAAAGTGTTAACTGGCTTAAGATAAAATGTATGCGGTACACGAAAGATAAACCTGGTCATCATTACCAGTATCGAAAAAAGCTAAAGATCTAGTACCTGCACCAGGATTAGACGATTCGGATGACTTGGAGGACTATGAAAATCCTGATGAATTTGAAGAAGATGAGGCGCAAAACAAATAGTATATCAGCCAAAACCAGATAAGTCCCACATTAAAAAAATGTTGTATTATTATATGAACATTAATGATATACCCCAGCATTACGAGTATCGTCTAAAAAAATTCTTGAGAATATGTTTCTTTTTCACCGAATTAACTATACCCTCCCTTTACAGGGTGTTAATAAACGGTATACTATCTTATTATATTAAAAATTTATTGTGTGATATATGAATAATTGCACAAAATATTTTATAGAACACCAAATCGTTCGAAAATATCCAACCAAAAGCTCATTCTTTCTTCATCAGGATTAACTCCGGAAATATCTCTAAATGTCCCAATATCCATATAATTTAAAACTCCATCAACAACCGGTTCCCAATGATCACCCTCTATTAAAGGATGTGAATGTTTAGCAAAGCTGCCCCATATTCCATTAACACGTTGGAGGGCAATATCTTCTACAGAACCGTTAAGAATTTCTGGTGATATAGCCGTTTTAAATAAATATCCTATATCATCTGCATGAGCAGCACCTAGAAATCCCATCGAAATCGAATCCATCCGCTTTACAACGTTTAATTCAGTATCGGCGGAAAATCGATAAAAATAAACGGGATATTCATTATTTTTAACATGTTCAACAGCAGCTCTTCTAGCTGGAAAAGCAAACATTGTATCTGTAATAATATTAATCGAAGGTAACATGAAATCAGGGCTAATTTCAACACCGCCTTGATAAAATTCTTTTATTTCTTCCGCCAATTCAAGCGCTTCTGGTGTCCCTGGTAAAATTCCTAACTCATCGGGGACAAAAGCAAAAAAGTCAGTGACTGGTTGGGATTCTCCCGTTAAATTTCGAATGGATTGTTCATAAAAAATCCCTTCCGCGTCTGTGTACCCAATCATCATTGGTACTTTATTATAATTTCCTTCTCGAAGAATTTTCAGTGGATTATCCGGTAAGAAAGCTGTTTCTTTGTGTTTTTCTACAATTGGTATATTAAAACGCATGGGATAAATCTAAAATTAAACTAAATTAAATTTAAAAATTAAAAAACTACAAAATTACTTGAGATAGAAGTAAAAATCCTTGGATAATAAATTGAGGTGGAAGATATTGAAGAGTCAGAAACATTTCCGTATCATCATCGGTGGTTACTCCTAACACTTGAGCCAAATATAATCCGTTATTTCGAACACCCGTCGTCGTAGGACTAGTTGCCACACCACTTTGCATAATTGCCTTAGAAAATAATCCTTTGGATTGCGGTGAAAGGACGTGAAGGTGTACACTAGCACTACCGGCACTTTGTCCATAAATTGTTACTTGATCTGGATCACCACCGAAATATTCTATGTTTTTTTGAACCCATTCCAAACCTAATCTTTGATCTTTCAAACCAGCATTTCCAGGAGCTCCAAAAGAAGGGTCATCCAAACTAAAGAAACCTTTTTTGTAATAAATAAATTCAGTTAATTAAGTTTAACTTAAATTATAATTAATATTTACCAAACATGTTAAGTCTATAATTTAATTTAACCAAAACGATATCTTCGGTGATTAAAAATTCAGGTCCGTAAATGACATCTCGTGCAGATCCACTCGTGAAACCACCTCCGTGTATAAAAACTATAACCGGTAAAAGATTTGATTCATTTTTGTGCAAATTCGGAGTGTCAACGTTCAAATACAAGCAATCTTCTTGTCCGACTATATTTAAACCTGAAATTTGCACACATTGGGGTACATCTTGGGTGGCATCTCTAATTCCAAGCCATGGTTCGTTCTCAACTGGGTCTTTAAATCTAAGATGACCTACCGGTGGTTTTGCAAATGGTATACTTTGGAAACTGTAGAATTCCTTTCCAAAATGATCATATCTTACTCGACCTATTAATGTCCCATCTGGTATTGTTAACTCTATTTCTTCCGAAGAGGAACCAACAACAAAAAATGTTAACAATGAAAATAGAACGTAATTAATCGGTGGCAACATTTTTATTAAAGTTATTACTTTGATTTTGGAGTTATATAATAGGAGATATTTTCGAGTGTGTACTAATTATACATTTGGATAAGATTGATTTAATTAGAATATCTTGTTTTTATGTATTTATCAGGTGAGATTTTAAAATATCTTCTTAATCTCTACATAGTAGCTATCACTAAAGAATCTAGGAGGTCTTCACGTTTAATATTAGACCTGCTTTGGTACAAGAGTTCTGTAGTTCCGAACAGTTCTGAACATTTCTGAGCATACACATTGCATACTATACGTATGCACGTAGAGGTTTAGAACTGTTCAGAACTACAGAACTCTAATACGTCTCGTCTAATACGTGTTCGTATTTAAGCTGTTTGTGTATTAAGATTTATTACAAGTGATAATGAATTATCAGAATCATCTGAAGTGACACTTACATCAAACCGAAACACTTAAAAAGATAGTACCACAAAAAGTTTGTGGAATATTTTATGAAAATTAGACTTTGTGGCTGATCAATAAAGAAGCATTTGGTTTCCAAAACGCATATCATTAAGATTGTCGTGACTTTCTTTCCATTTATAACCTGCACCGGTTTTTGGGTGTGCACAAAATATCCATGAAAAGATACCATCTGTTCGTTATTTGCGAATTATTTTAGTGCAGTTTTCGCAGCACCGTCTGCTCCCCATTATGATGCGGTGGGGACGGTTGATTCTCCGCGCGTACTCATTCATGACTTTGGTCTCATTGAAGTGGAGGGGGCATTGCGTCAAGTAGCTTTGAATAAGGGTCCTGGTGCTGACGGTATACCTGCTATACTGGTCAGAAACTGTGCTCAGGCAATATCAGTTCCTTTACAGCTGATATATAATAAATCCATTAAGCTGGGAGTGTTTCCGGATGCGTGGAAGCGAGCCAACGTTGCACCCATTTTTAAATCAGGTGATCGACACTTCGTTGTCAATTATCGTCCAATATCTATATTACCCATACTTGGAAAGGTCTTTGAGAAGTTGGTGTACGCCAGTGTATTTTTTCAAATTCGTGGAAGTATTAATACTAATCAGCACGGTTTTTTTTCCGGGCGTTCAGTCGAAACTAATCTTTTAGAATATACCGATTTTCTATTTGCGTCGCTCGATGAAAATGTTCAAGTGGACGCAGTGTACACCGATTTTAGTAAGGCCTTCGACAAAGTTGATCACTCTCTGTTGGTAAGTAAATTGCAACTTTTTGGTATTTCTGGCAATTTGTTGCGTTGGTTTGGTTCATACGTGTCCGATCGCTCTCAGTCTGTACATATTGGTGGCTATAAGTCACGCTTAATTCACACTACATCCGGAGTGCCGCAAGGCAGTCATCTCGGTCCTTTACTGTTTTTAATTTACATAAACGACATTTTTAATAATATTCTTAATTCGCGTTGCCTGATGTACGCTGACGACTTAAAAATTTACCTTTCTATTCGAAACATCGACGATTGTGTTAAATTACAGGCAGATCTTGATAGGATTTGCAATTTCTGTACAAGTAATCAATTACACTTAAACTTTTCTAAGTGTCACACCATCACATTCACCAGGAAAAAGAATTACATAAAATATGATTACATCCTTAACTATGATAAGTTGCGTCGAGTTACATCTACAGTTGATCTTGGTGTAACACTAGATCAAAAACTACGTTTCGATGTTCATGTAGATGGTGTGGTTGCTCGATCATACAGAATGCTGGGCTTTATAAAGCGATCTTCCGAGGATTTCACAAACCACAACGCAATTATAAGTATGTACAATGCATATGTCAACAGCATCTTAAACTTTGGTAGCGTAATCTGGAATCCTCAATATTCCGTATATATCACTAGGTTAGAAGGAATCCAGAAACGACTGATTAAATATTTGTGTTATAAAACCCAACAAGTGTACAGTAACTATGCGTCTGGTTGTGAAATGTTCGGATTGCTAACGCTCTCCCAGCGACGAGCATATAATGACGTTTTATTTTTGTACAAGCTTGTCAATGGTCATACTGATTCCCCATCGCTGATGGCGAGAATTGATTTTCATGTTCCTCCTCGTCAGTTACGGTACGACTTCCTTTTTTATATGCCCACTCCACGAACAAACGCATATCGTAACTCGCCTATTCTGAGGATGGAAAGAACCGCGGATCGGGTGAGTTGCGATCTTTTTTCGAGTAACCCACGAAATATTAAGTTTGCGGTCCGCGAGGCTGTGAAGACTGCGCACATCATGTGTAATTTAAATATTTAATAATGTTAATTTAAGATAACAACATATTTGTAATCACATTAAATATTACTTTAAGGTTTTCGTATATAATAATTATGTGGAGCAACTTTATTGGGTTTGTCTTGTTGTTGCTCCCCGATAACAATAAATAAATAAATAAAAGCCCGCAGACTTGTTGCATTGCCGCCCGAAGTTATAATAATAAACACAATTAATTTGAGAAGAAATGCAAGATTAAATTAACTAAATATGTGCCTAAAACCCACCTTCTCCAACATCGGCGTTTACTCGTATTCTATCAATAACGTTCCGTATTTTGTGCCATTTTCTTTTACATAACTTTTATGGCTCAGAAAGTTAATAATTATGTCCTGGCATTGTTTCCAATTAGTTAATAAATTATTATGGTTATTTCTAAACGCTGCCACAAAGTCCATGTCAATTTGAACAAGAACAATTTTACGAATCGATATTTTTATACCAAACGAAACCCAAATGAATTTTTGCAAAAAGGACATTTTTTAAAGAACTTGATGATCGAAGTTAAGGTTTTAATGCCATTAAACCTGTACTATTTACAGTTGCGCCACGAATAGTCAAATTCTTCGGAAGACAGATTATCATACAGTGTGTTAATTAATTATCGTACTCGACGTCATCATTGCAAGTATACAACCAATATCACAGTATTGGTATTGCAATACGTAAATCGCGTATTATAAAATAAATACTATGATATTGGTTGCATACTTGCAATGATGACGTCGGATACGATAATTAATTAACACACTGTACTTATTATATTCTAGATCTGCGTTCTAAACCTAAGTAATTCACATGAGCACGTTGAAACTAAAACCGCTAACGAAAAAACCTAATATTCTTGTTCTTGGTGACAGCCATTTTAGGGAAATTTTTTCATTTACTTCGAGATTCGAATATTCTGTCACATCTATCTTTAAACCAAATATATTATTGGAGCAAGGGATCGTCGATGCGGATAAATTAACGTCAATCTTTAATGTTTCGGATTATTTGGTTGTTTCTGAGGGCTCAAATGATGTGTTATGTAACAATATAGTAAATTTCGAAGTTAAAGATTCTCCAATCCTGTGCTTACCGTACAAATGTTATTCTGGTGTCAATTTCATATTGGTACAAATAATATGCGTTATACAGGGTGATCCAAAAAACTGCTGACAGACTTCTAGAGCTGGTAATACATCAAAAATTGAGATGAAAATCCATTCCCTACGTCACAGAAAAGCCGCGATATTATTTCGTTTGAATACTTGCTATTTTTCACTTAAATTACGCAAAACATAAAATATATCAAAATATTTCGTTTAGTTTGTGTTCATACATATACTTACATATATCGTTTTACGTACAAATTTTCTCTAAATTTAATAAGTGTGTATGACCCCATTCTGTCAAACGGGCAGTAGTTTCGTGTAAAGTGATCAATTATGTATCAATTGATCTCTTACAAAACTTTGATTAAAGCAACAGTTTTTAATTGGATTAACAAGTTGATTGTTTATTAAGACTATTCATCTTAATTTTTCATGTATTATCTACTCTAGAAGTCTGTCAGCGGTTTTTTGAATCAGCCTGTATAAAGGTACGCTCTTCCAAAAAAAAGAGATCCATCGAAGATCTCAACTTCCCAATCAGAAATGAGATTTTTGAGGATACTGAATGCCAGCATCTAACTAACTGACACAACTGAATTCCTTAGACCGCCATTCTTTACGAAACATTACACTTAAATTCTAAAGGCAAACAACTGCTCGTAAAACAATTTATTCAAAAAACTAGTGGTGGAACGGATATCCGGCAACTATCCGGTATCCGGTACCCGGCCTATCCGGCCATTTTTTTAAATCCAGCCGTATACCGGATAGTTGCCAAATATATTAAAAACCTAGTACATAGTACTACACCATTCTCAGGAATTAATATTTCTTTTCGGTGTTGGACACTGCAGATAATAATCAAGTTCAACCCCAATACGACTTTTTTTTATTGAATACAACTTTACTTATATCAGGTTTGTCATTAGCAACCTCTTTGTAACAATCCCAATACGATTATAAAATTTCTTGTTGCAGTTTCGTCTGGTTTTCTTCTCTTCGCTTGTAATTATCGTCACATTCATTACTAACAGAACTGTCGCTGTTATCACTTGCGATCATTAATTAATTAAAGTATCTTTTTAATGCAAAAAGCCGTTTTGAAAAATCCCTTTTAGTTTTTGAGAAATAAATTTTTGAAATGATCTACAATATTTTCGAATTTTGCTATTTTCGCCGATTGAGTTTTAAAAATTCCCATAAAATCCATTTCTTGGAATATGAGCATAAAAATTTCCCAAAGTGTTAATAAAAGTGCCCTCTTTCCAATGAACTAACCCGTTTTGAAAAATAACTTTTAGTTTTTGAGAAAACAATATTTGAAGTTTTGATAAAATTTTCGATATTGCAATTTTCATCGATAAATAACTCCTTGCGGAAA